ATGAACTTTATTTGGTTAAATTTTTAGAGGCTATTAGCTTATTAATAAAACAAGTAATTTAGCCAGCAAAAATGCTTAAATTTCTGTGTAATGTTAATCAAATATCTAAAATTAGATTTTATAGAAATGATCGATGTAAATTTTAGCAATGATCAACAAATGATTAACATATATAAAAATGCTTTAGAGTATGGTTTTAATAGCAAAATCTCAAAAATCTTAAGTATTACAAAATTAATATAACAATATTTTTGACATCACTACTCAAAATATAGGAGGAAGAAATATCCATTCTGCATTGCAGATAATTTCAGATCATAATCATTTTCGTACACGTGTATATATTGATAAAGAATTAAATAAATCATTAAAAAAGGTTAATACCATCATTATTGAAGAAATTTTAATGGTTTTAGCACAACTCTTTGATTTTATATCTGACCTTTTTGCTAATTTCAATAATAATGCTACACCATTTAGTGGAATAAATGTGATTATAGTAGGTAATCTTACTTAATTATTACCTATTACAGGTCAACCTGTATTTCGATCAATGACTTGAACTTTATTCTAACAATTTCACAACGTTAACAATCTGATAATAGGTTTTATTAAAGTTTACAAGAAGTTCAAATGGGTAATATGTCTGCTAAAACATGGTAAATGCTTAGTCAAAAACATTCTGAATTTTTATCATGTTTAGCAATTGATACACTTCTCAATACTATTAACATTGTAGGCTTTAAAAAAATGCTTAACAAATTAATCGAATGATTTGTAACATTTTACCTAAAGGAAAATTTTTTATTTCACAAGCTGTAAATTCAGTAAATTCGATATCATAGGATACTTTTTTTTGAAAGTTCTTTTAAAAGTAAAACCAATCTACCTTTTGTAATATTGCAACCAGGTACTCATGTTATGTATCTTAATAATTATTTGATTGAGCAAAGTATCTATAATAGAACAGTTGGAATTATTATGGATTTAAATCTTATTGATCATTCTATTCAGATTGCATTTTCTGTAAAGGTTTAATAATAGATATGACCATTTATAAGCAAATATATCACTTTCAACTATTTGAAAGTAATTGTTACAGAACTCAATATCTACTATAGAATTGCTTTGCTCTGACTGTTCACAAAACATAAGGTTTAACTTTACCAAATGTTTCTCTTACTTTAGATCAAAATATCTTCTCTATAGATCAAGCCTATATCACCTTTAGCAGATGTTTTCTACCTAAGATAATATTGAGATTTCTCATCTTGTTAGATCAGCATTCATGACAGTTCAGGATATAATCCTAGAATATCAAAGGTTACAAGAAATCTCCCGAATAATTTTCAATCATAAAATATACATTTTAGAAATAAAAATGATAAAACAATTACATTATCTGACTGATACCTTTGAATATTTAAAATCATAATATTAAATAATTTGTTTAATAACAATCGATAATTTTCTGATCATAATCTTCAATTTGATTTTAAAAAATATAACGTATCAAAAAAAAACTGCATTGTAAAATTAAAACCTTCAAATCAACTATTTATGCTTTTTTTATTATAAAAATTATAAAAAATTGAATTGATCTACTCATCATGATCATCATTCTCCGTATGACAAATTACGCTTGTATGACCATTGCGCTTCTGAGATGCATTAAATGTGTGGTGGATACTGGAAAAAAAGAACTCACTAGTTAATTTTATTCTTTTTATTATAATTTAGAGAAGGAATACTACAATGGTATTTGGTATTATATTCGAAATATTGCGATATATTTTAATGATCGTAATAGCTTTTCTTGTAAGATTTGTTACATTTTATGGCATTTTTCAACAAAATTTGTTTCTCTTAATAGATATGGCTTTCTTTTTTTTATTAAAAAAAAAAATTAGTTCAACCCTAGCAAAACTTCATTTGTTCAGAAATTTTCTGAAGCAACAAACAAACTTTTTGTAGAAATTGGCAATGTAGACTTTTCTGGTAAATACTTTCAATAATTTTTTTCTTATAAAAAAAAGTCCTTTCCTTCTCACTTTGTTAATAAATACCTCTTTAGCGGTCGAAGTAATTATGGAACATGCAATTTCATGCCGTGAAGTGGCATATTCGATTCAAACAAGCCCAGCTTTTGAATTTCATGGTTGTCAGATATCAACAAGTTTACATGAATTTAGAGACAAATTGATAACAGCAGATTCTTCATTACGAAAAATGTATGACAAAGGTTCGGTGGTATGTGAATCATTTGAAAAATGATGAAACGAAAAGGCGAAACTCAATATTTTAAGAGGAGGTTGGATAAATTATTAATCAAAATTAAGGATTTCCGACAATTAGTAGAACAATCTCATGGATTTATACTTGACGCCGCAGAAAGTAAACATAGTGTCGAGGGTAATATTGAAAAGGGATTAAGAGGAGCCGAAAAGTTTTGTTACAATAATGTACTATATTTTGCTGATATCGATAAAGCCAAGAAAAAACTTTTAATTATTGAGGATAGTTTGGAGAATTTACATGATACTTCTCATAATTTATCTAAATTGAAAGAAATTTTGGTGGGTTATGAAGATTTATTAGTAGAGATTATTGCTCAATATGATGAGAATACATTCGAAGTTACTAATGATGATCTCATTTATTTAAACCTTGCTATAAAAGTTTGTCATAATAAATTTAATCAAGGATGTGGAGAAGTTTAAATTTTTATTATAATTTTTTTTTTAAGAATAAACATCACAGGATCATGTGATATTATAAAAACTTACCTAATGCCACGCCACCAAATAAATGTATAAGGTAGTTGTGACGCAATATAATCACATGATCTGGTGATCGTAACTACACCGCATCACCTTATCGATCATTTCCTAATATGTATAGCCTAAATTTAACGAAATTTTTATTTTTTGAATATAACTTAATATAAACTGTATATAGCTTCTAAAATCGCATCTTGTATTGTATTTTTGCCTGCTTTATAAGTTTGATTAGGATTCTATAGAGGTCTTAAATGCCATTTTTTAGAAAATTAATTATTTACAAAATAACATATAAAAAATATAAAAAGTCAAAAATTGTAAAATCTTTTTTTTTTTATTCTAAGTAAACTTGCAAAGCAGGCAAAAATATATTAAAAAGATGTAATTTTAAAAGTTATATAAAATTTGTGTTAGGCTATATCAAAAAAGTACTTTTTGATAAAGTTATATTATTAATTTAAGAAATGGTGGTGTATTATTATAATTGAGATACAGATCATATGATTTATTATGTCTCGTATCTTAATTTTAATAACATATCACCTAAATGATTGATAAAATGATTGCTATAGCAGAATTTTTCAGGATGCTCTTGGGATAGTTGATTGTAACTGAACTTTTCTAGCATTACCAACAAAATTTTGTTTTACGTGATTTTTTTGCCAGCATTATAGCATTAAGTGTGACATATACAGTAATAAATAAGAAATTACAAATAGAATTAAAAAACAAAGTCACTAAAATATATAATAAAAATAAAAACAGAAAGAGTGTAATACTAGGTAACAAATATTTTACTATAATTATATAAGCATATATTTTTGTTAGTAATGCTGGAAAGATATTATAATTGTCTAATAATTACAAGTAATTTTCTTAATTAACTCTAAATTTATTTCTAAAAAAAAAAGTTATTAATTCTAAGTTTTTTTTAATAGCTTTCTACGAAAAAATAAAATATAAAGAATTTTATATTTTTATAAATTGCTTTTCAATATACTATTTATTTATAAATTGACATATTACAATATGAACTTATTTAACTTTATTATAATAGAAGGTATCTCACAGAAATCCCTTAATCTTCTTTCATAAAATATTTTAAAAAATATTTACAATTTATAAAATAACTATTAATATGATAAAAATTAACTTTCATACTAAAAATGGTATTGTAATTAAGCAGTTATAATTAGTTACAACTTCTTGTAAAATTTTATTTTGATATAAAAATTCATAAATAATTGTAACTAGTTAAAATTCTTTAAATTAATTACAGCTCTATCTTATTTCATACTCTTTTATTATAAGTTTAATTTATAAAATTTATTAAATATTAAAACAAAATTTAATTTGAAATGTTGTAGAATCAACAATTTTATAATTTATAGCATAGCAATATATATGATAATGATCAATAAAGTACAATAAAAATTATAAGTAAAATCATATAATAAAAAAAAGAATAATTATTTTATTAAAAGAAAAAGAATATGCAAATAAACTATAAACAAATAGAAAGATTATATAAAATGGATAAATTTCGGAATGGATAAATTAATTATTGAAAAAGAATAGATAATTAAAGAATTAAATAGAGAGTCAAGAAGTCAAATAATTAATGATCTATACAAAGGGTCTTAAAGAAAGATTTCAAAAATAAAATGAAATAATAATTGAAAAAGTATATGAATATGTAGAAAGGTTATACAAAAGATACAACAATTAGAAATAATAAACTGGATCACATAAAGGTTATGTAATATAACATAACATAATATATCATAATGGTAAATATTACAAAAAAAAGTTACAAGAAGAAGAAGAAAAATAGAACAAATTACTAAAATAATTAAATAAAATATTTTAGAAATAATAGAATTAGTAAAAATTATAAAAAATAGAATAGAATATAAATCTGAAAAATAATGTAAATAGTAAATAATTTGTATTAAGAAGACAATATTTGTTTTCAATCCTTTTTCCCTTCAATTAATTATTTTATTAAACATTTTTAGAATACAAATAAATAACAGACTTTTGTCTGAAATGGTAAATAAAATTATATCAAAATGAAATAAAGAATTATTTTACTGAAGTTATAAAATGAAAGATAATAATATAAAAAATTAATGTAGAAAGAATATATGAAAATATTATAGATAAAATAATATTAATATAAGAAAGAATATAAGAAATAGTAATAATAATAAAAAAATAATATAAGAAGAAATAATAATAATACAAGAAAGAATTACAAAAAGAATGATAGTAATATAAGAAATAATTTTAAGATGAATTATCACTTGATATATAAAAAATAGATTTTTAACTATTAAATATTAATTTATAAAACAAATTCTTTTGATAACAACTGGCAAAAACAGTTAAAAAAATTCAAGTTATGTTAAAGCTAATAAATTAGAAAAATAACATAACAAGTATTATGATAATTACAACGTGTATCTAAATATTTATATGATAAAAAGCTTAAGTATATGACTTTTAGTAAATAGTTATATAGCAAAATTTAAAATATAAGTCTTATTTAATTAAATAAATATAATAAAGTTACAAATTTAGATCAACTTATCAAATATAATTGGATTTGTCTTATAATATAAATTAATAAATATATTATAATACATTATAATCATAAATCCTTTTAAGTAAAAATGAAAAAAAATTTAAGTTATAGTTTTACAAACTGTTTTAATATAATAATTAAAAGCCTTATATATATAATAAGCTAAATTAAAATACTATAATAAAAAGTTCTTCATTTATATAATCTTAATAGATTCAAAAACTCTTAAGAATATTTTCATATAATTTTCTATAATTATCTAATCTAATTCTATATTTTTATTACAAAAAACAAAGCCTTAAGTTTGTATTAAACTACAGTTAGCTGTGTATTTAGTTTTACTAGAAATAAATTTGAAATTTATTCAATATTTGAATAAAAAGAAAAAATAGCAATTCTTTACATTAAATGAGTTATTCAAGCAATTTTAGCAAAAAAAAAAACTTTTCTTAAATGGATTACTTTAAAGAAATGTAAAAAGTTCATAAAGATTTTAAAAATTTAAGAGGATTCAAAAATATAATTAGTATTATTAATGATATATATGGAGTTTTACAAATAAAAAGATATAAAACTTTAAAAATTTTTTTTGAATTAATGTTAAATTTTAATTATTTTACTAAAAAATCATATTTAGCTTATAAAGTAATATTTAAGGTTGCTTGTCTAAACTCATTTTGGATTTGGCAAAATGGTAAAACCTTTAGTTTCGCTAAATTTTTACTAAGTGTTTGATATAGTTTCGCCATTTTTATAAGCTTTGATATAGTTTTACTTTTTTTCAAATTTCGCAAATTTTTTAATAAGGTTTTAATATAATTTAACCAAATTTTACTTTTACTATTTAGATGTCTGTCTAAACTCTTGATTTTGTCTAGCAACCTTAGTAATATTATAATATTTTTAGAATTTTGTATCTTTTTTATATATAACAAAATACTTATATTCTTATGAAAAATATCAAGTAAAGATTTAGAAGTTTAGAAAATTGCAGCAGCATTACTAAATAAATTATAAAAATCACTTGATTGCAGTATATAATTTATGATTATTTAGTTACAAATATTTAAATAAATGAATATAATGTAATTTTAGGATTTTTAACAAGTTACCTGAGTTATAAAAAAAAATTTTTTATTTATATTTAAAAAATTTATGTTGAGACAAAATTATAAATGCTTCTTAAAATTCCTTCAAAATAATTATATCATATGGGAGCTGATCTATTAAAAGTGGGTTACGAGACATAGTAAATCATATGATCTGTACCTCAATTTTAATAGAATACTACCCATATCCTTTACTATGTTTTTAATATAGTTTTAGCTAATTTTAGATTTTAGGATTTCATCATACCTCTCACTATATTTTAATATAATTTCAGCCATTATTCAGTAATAATCTAATTATTTGACTATTTAAATGATTTGTTTACAGTTAAACCTTACTATAACGAATCTCCATTTTTAAAAGCCAAAATTTGTGTAAGAAAATTTGGTAATGTCTATACTGAAGTTTAACAATTTATTCATTATATAGTAATACTAAATATCATATTCAAATTTAAGTTTAGAATAATATCAAACAAATAAATTTAAATAATAAATAACTAATAAATTAAAGTTATGAAGGTATGCTTGCTCTTAGCCAGATATAGATTAATCTATAACTGTTGATCCTGAACACCATATAGAGGTGATAAGCTTCGTTCAGATTTTTTTAACAAAATTTAAAAAAAAAATTATAAAAAATCCTGAGTGAAAAAGGATAAGTGAAGATAATGGAAAAGATAAAGAAAAGAGAGACTAGTTAAAATTATAAAATATGAAAAAAGAATGAAGATAGTTGAAAAAAGAAGTGACAATAGTAAGAAATGAAAGTAAGAATTAGATTATTTTGGATTTCAGATTGAGAAGTTGTTAGGTAGAGGAGTTAGTGATTCTAAAAAATATAAATTTAAATTTATGTTAAAATAATATTCAAATTAAATTAAATAAATTTATTATTTTGATTTCTGACAGCTAATCTTGTACACTTTCATTCTTAAACTCGAAATTCTAAATAACATAAATATTTAATTTTAATAATGATTTTTTCAATTAAATATCAATTGAAAAGTTTTATTCCAACCTGATCTCTCCAAAAATGGGTTTCGAATTATTCCTCAAAAACTTTCTAATATGTATTCATTTTTCTTTTATGTTTCTATCAGCATATAATTCAAACAACTAAAGAATTAAAATTATTAAATTATTATTATAAAATACAATTAATATAAATATTTTTATTCT